TTTGAATTAATTTTTGTGTATGGTGTCAGGCAGGGTCCAACTTCATTCTTCTGTTTGTGGAATGCTCTGGATTTAGTTTGGACTAACAAGAAAAGATCTCATTGGTATGATGGAAGCCCCGGGCAAGCCCTTTTGTGAGGGCAAAAGTCAGATGTCAAAGGTAAGGAATGCAAGGACTCCGGGAGTATGGAGCCAGACTTTCTAAATACATATTTAAAAACTCAACAAAATTATATCCTTTGCTCTGAGACATTAAAAGGGATTGTGGCTCCAGAGGACTAAAAATGAAATTCTGACTCCATGAGAATCAGGAAATCTGATGAAAGGAGACAGAAGACAACATTTAAGGAAACATGCACAGCTACAAGTTTGGGTGATGAGCTCAGATTTTAACGCATCATGTGCAACAGAAAATAGGCAGCGCATATAATCCAAACTGAATGTTGTGTAAGCTAGTGAGAAAAATTCCAAGAAATCTAATGCCAGAATGAAGTAAAGCTTGAAGAAGTGAGGGAAGAGTGAGGCTGAAGTACATTCCCAGAAAAAGTGCAAAAGACTGTAGTTTGTTTGCCTTTAGGAAAGGAAGTGGTGGGTTGTTGGGTCACCCAAGAGTTTTCTAAGAACAAAATCTAGTAAACAAGGAGGGCGGGAAGAAACTTTTGGAGGTCGTGGAGATGTTTATGGCATAGGTTATAGTGATAGGTTCCCAAGTGTATACTTATCTTCAAGACCATCACGTTATATACATTGAATATGTACAGCCTTTTTTTCTGTATGTCAATTATAGCCCAAAAAAAGTGATTTAAAAATAAATTAGTCAGTGTGGAATTAAAACATGAAAGAACAAGTCAGGTCAAAAAGAATTTGATTTCTTATTGTGATCAGATTTCTTGAATTATTGAGCAGGGGACAAATGTGTTTTGGCTTCGGCATACAGATGGGTCAAGGCTCTTGTCACATCACGGATGAAACAGAGAGATCCGGTCTTCCCCGATCCCTCTGCCACCAACTGTGATTTGTGGCTCTCTTCTTTGCCACCTTAACTTCGACTATTGGTCTCTTTTCTTGTGGCACCAAAATTTGGTGTTGACATATATTGTGTGGCTACTTGGACATTATTAATTTTTTTCTTATTTTAGAGAGAGAGAGAGAGTGAGCAGAGGAGAGGGGCAGAAGGAGAAAGAGAGAGACTCTCAAGAAGGCTCCACACTCAGCACAGAGCCCGATGTGTGACTCGATCCCACGACACCGGGGTCATGACCTGAGCCGAAATCAGGAGTCAGACACTCGATTGACTGAGCCACCCCTGGTCCCCTGGACATTCCTTTTATCTTCTGGTGTCGAAGAAACCAGAAGGCTCAGTGAGTTTTGGTGAAGAAACTAAGCCTCAGTAAGTTTTGCTGACTAGGTCAATGTTACACAATGAGGAAGGCCGACAGAAGAATTTCTGCAAATATACTGATGCTTCCCTCAAGTTTAAGCATAATTATTAGATTGAACTGATAGATATATTTTCTGTTCTTGGGGTTTTATACATAGCCACATGCCCTTAGACTTACTGGTTGCTGCCTGTGGATCTCACACTGTCTGAAACGAGAAAGTTCACTTGAGACAGATACAATGAGGTAAATCCCCTGACTTGGCCCATAGTTATTTATTTACTCTTTTCTCCGAAGTCCAAGGTAACTGAGAGGCACCGGGATGGCTCAGTTGGTTAAGCATCTGACTCTTGATTTTGGCTCAGGTCAGGATCTCATAGTTTGGTGAGCTTGAGCCCCGCATTGGGCTCTGTGCTGAGTGTGGAGACTCCTTTGGATTCTTCTTCTCTCTCTGCCCCTCCTCAGCTCTTGCTCTCTGTCACTCTCAAAATAAATAAATAAATAAATAAATAAATAAATAAATAAATAAACAAACAAACCTAAAATTTTTTTTAAAGTCCAAGGTAACTGAATTAAATTTTATAGGAATAAATTCTCCCTGAGAAATTTTCCTTCATTTCTGGCCAATATTTAAACTATGGAGACGCTTGGAAAGGCTGGGACTAACAGCTGTTCTCTCTGTGGAAAAAAAGAGACTCAAGGTTCCGCATTTACCAGTCACTTCTTCACCCCTTGCAGTGTTTCCTTTTTGTGACCATGGCTCTTCTTAGGGGCTCCTATAATTGCCGATAGTAGCGACAGCCAAGGCCATTCCAGAAGCTCAGTCAGAGCCAGTAAGAAGGTGCGAAACTAAAAATCATGCTTTCTTACTTCCTGTAAGCACACCTACAAATGCTCTAAAAAATCTATTAAGAAAAGGGAGGGAAAGAGGGTGCACATTCACACTTCTTCGACAAAACTGAGTAAACGCCAGGAGGTGTTGCATGTTACAGGGTTTTCACCAGCATCGTCTGTAGAAATAGGGAGAGGGTTCTAGGATGTGGGAGAACAGAGGGCATCAGGAAGGGATTGGGTGGGTGGGGGGGACACCAAAGACTTTGCTTTCTCCTCTGGCTGTGTCAAGAACAAATGTTTGTCCTCTTCATCTTCTTCTCCTCATCCTGTCCCCCTCCCTCCACTTTCAAATTAAATGCCAGGAAAATCCTGTCATTCAATTTGAGTATTCACACTGATGTCTACTGCACGGCTTTTCTAAGTGGGTTATATTCTCAAAGCACACTGGGAAACAGATGGTGGTGGAGTGGTTGTTCTCTCAGAAACCCTCATGGGGGAGGGTAGAACCAGCTGGGTAACTTCATGGATAACCCCTGTGTACACCATTTCTTTTTAGTCCAATTCTGCGCGCTAATATAACTAGATGAATTCAGGCTTTTCTCCTAAGTTTTGCAATGGCAAATCCTATGTACATCATGGCCGGCTGCCACTGGACATGGAGAATTGCAACAGGGGGAGGAGCCACGAGGGAAAGTACTAGAAAGGTAGGCTCCAGCTTGTCTTTGGTGTTCTCTTAGGAATATTCTGAAATTAGTTGGTCACACCATGTCCCCACCTCCACATGAGAGACCATCTGAAAGACGCTTAAAACCTGACCTGAAAGAAACTTAGCTGGTCTAAAGAGTCATTTGTCTAATTGTGCAGAGTACTGATTGGTGTAGGAGGAGTGGTAAAGAATCCTGACCTTTTTCATGGTTCTCTCAGGGATTTTCTTAGGAGGGAAAAGGTTTGGTTACCAGGTTTTAGGAGAAGAAAAACTGGTTAGGAAACAACAGTGTAATGGCACCTCCTTCTCTGGTGGAATTTCTGTGGAGTACATTTGACATGGTATAGTCAGGTATAAAAATGTTCGGAAATTTTATCCATTAATTCAGTACTTAGATATTTATGCTAAGGAGACCATCTGAGATTCAGATAGGCAGACTAAAACCAAATATTTTTAGTAGTACTATTTATGTCAGTTGGAAACCACCTAAATGTTGAATTAATAAAAGAATGGATGAGTAATTGATGGCACATTCACGTAGTCATTAAAAGTAATTCTTATGAACAGAATTTCAAAATATGGAGACATAATTAGGGTGAAGTATTAAATGAAAAAAAAAAGCAAGACATACAACTACAATGTAGTGAGAACTCAACTATGTAAAAACAGAATGTATAGAAAAAAAGAAAATTGTGATTTGATGGGCTTATCACTATCTTTATTTTTTATTTACATTATTAAATATCCTCAATTTACTCAAATAACATGCATTATTTAAAATTCATTTGTAATCTCCTATCCCAAATTTCTGGCCATCTTTCTAATTCAAAGCTTTTAGCTTTTACAGTTATATTCCCAGTGACCGTATTATTCTGTGGGTTAAATATGACTTATGGGAACCCAATTTCATATTTGCGGCAAGTCAACTTCATAGGTTGTCTGATTCTTGGTTTATAGGTTAGGAGTTCACAACTTTAACAATCCACAGGACTGCAGGGTTTTCTTTGGTAATGAGGTGAAATCTTCATTTTTGGTATAAATACAGATAGCATTTGCTCCACAAATTATGATTCTCACTGAGTCATGACTTAGGGGTGGGTTTTCATGGAACATCGAGTATACTGTCCTCAAATTACATAGAGAGGAAGGGTCTTTCTAAGGAAATTCAATGCTAGAGCTTTGCTGTAAACTGCAAAATGAATTGAACAGCTTCTAAATAGCTCAAAATTCCTCCAAGGATGTGTTATTTTCCTTAACAAAATATGAACCATATTTTGAAAAAGACCCAATGTTTTTGATGATGAAAGGTACTATCTGGTGAGTTTTGCAGGTGAAATAATTCCTTGGAATAGCCTTACTCAGAGACAAAGAGAAGAACCAATGGGGAAATAGGTTGGGTGAGCCTAGGGGAGAAGGAATGAAGCGCTAAGGAAGACAGAGATACAGACAGGCAACAGGGGAAATTTGTTCATTTGTTAAGTTTTGTCTGAGGTGTGAGAAGAAAAAGTAGTAGCTGGTAAGGATGCTCGGTGAGTCGTCCTAGATAGCTCTGGATTGTAACGTGACAGGGTAGGTAACAGACACGCAGAGAACATAGCTTTCAATACCCGATTCTCCTCTGTCAGCGACACATTACTTCTCTTCATACTTAGCTCAGACAGTAGAGTTCTGTCGCCCTCAATCCATTTGCTGGGAATGGGTTGGGACAAACTGTGAAAAGCATTCCCTTTGGGTTTTGTGTGTTCCATTTACAAACTATGAACTCATGGAGTTTCAGAGTGCTGAAAGGTATCTAAGTTGTTTGGGGAGAATAAGGAACGGAGAGAGAGATCCAAGCCTTTCTAGCAGCGCTTTCTAAAGGCTTCCTCTGTAACCTCTGGTTTCCTGAAAATAGCAGGCTGTGAGACGACTTACAAAGAGAGGCTGTGCCAGTGGAATGTTCTATTCTAAAAGAGCGATAACAGACTTAGAGGTAATTACTTTAATTTAAAATTCATTGAGTTAATGACCATAAACGTGTGTCTTTCCCCCCACTCTGTCTTATAGGCTAACCATTGTGATTCATGGTCATAATTAAAAAGCGCATAGAATTACTTGCTCAACACCTGTCCTTACCAGTTTTCATAGGCGGTAAGCCTCGGCTGCTCCCTCCTCTGTGTGATAACTGAATTGACTTCATCAGAGCACAAACCTTCGCTGGGGACAGTTCTCACCGGCTTCCAGGTATGTCCTGGGGAGGCGGGCAAGCAGTTGGTGGTGCAGGTGTCTCTGAGGCCAGTGGTCACAGCGCTGAAACTAGATGTTTGAAGATCTTTATTCCTGGCATTGGGGGGAAAGGGAGGTGTTACTTTATCATCACATTCTCCTGCTACTTTCTACTTTCACGACTGCGAGCAACTTAATGTGTCTGAGTCCTAGCTTTCCTCATTTGTCTATTAGGGAAACAATGTCTTCCTCCTTGACTTATTGGAAGAACTGAGTGAGGTAATGGATGCGGAAGGGCCTGTGACATATTAGGTCCCCTATAAATGTTTATGACATCTAGATGCAGGTAAGACAGTCCGGGATGTAAGTTCCTCCTGCACTAGAGGTCGTGAGTGCAGGGGCAATCACGTTCTTGCTCACCGGACAGCCAGTGCCTGACACATAGTAGGCACTCAGAAATAGTTATTTACTGAATGGATGTCTGGGCTATTCTTTTACTGCAGTATTCAAGGGATCTAGAGTTTTGTCTGGGGTTGAGGTCAAATCCAAATACATACTGAAAAAAAATGCTTATTTATTTTTGAGAGAGAGAGAGAGAGAGAGAGAGAGAGAGAGAGAGAGGTTGGGGGAGGGGCAGAGAGAGGGGGAGATACAGAATCCAAAGCGGGCTCCAGGTCCTGAGCTGTCAGCACAGAGCCTGACACGGGGCTCAAACTCATGAATGTGAGTTCTGAGCCGAAGTCAGACATTTAACCAACTGAGCCAGCCAGGCACCCCCCCCCATGCATATTTTTAATTTAAGAAACTGTATTTCTTATCAGTATATTATAACGTTTGTTCTATGTAAAGAGAAGTTGTATATCTAAGGCTATAAAAATTTCATAGGTGTTAAAAATTATGGTGCTTTATCATTTAAAGCAAGGACTGGCAAACTTCTTAGTAAAGACCAGATAATAAATATTTTTGATTTTGCAGGCCATATGGTCTCTTTACAACTCTTCAGCTCTGCCATTATAGCTGGAAAGCAGCCACAGACAGTAGTAAATGAATGGGCACGGCTGTGTGTTTATAAAAATTTACTTATTAAAAAGAGACAGTGGGCTGGATTTAACCCAAAGCCTGTAGTCTGTGAACCTTGATCAGGATGTTGAAACCCTGGTTTACAATTACGGAAGAAATAGATAGATGTCATATGGATTTTGTTAAGAAGTAAAAAAACATTTATGCAGTACTAATTCTATATAATTATACTAGTAATACTAACATATTGTGTAACATATTAGGGCAAGGAAGGCTGTATTGTTATTCCTATTCTTTGAATAGGTGAGAACATTGAAGTTCAAGAGGTATTTGCTCCAGATGTCAGGCTAGTAAGATTCAGAGCGAGATCTGCACCCTCCGATCGCAAATGTGCTGCTGGTTCCGTGTTGTATTCTTCACCATCTCGTAGCTTTGACCCTCTGCGGTCCCTGTGTCTCTGTCCCATTGGGGCAGGGAGTGGTACTGATGCCAAGCCTGGAGCCCTCGGCTTGGGATCTAGGAGAACTGAGGGCATTTCTGGAAAGGGTGATTGATATCTTAAGAGTAACTGCAAGTGCTAAAACAAGCTTGGTGTGTTTTCATCTTTATTATTGTTGCTTTTTGTTGTTTTAGTGGGGTGTGTGTGTGTGTGTGTGTGTGTGTGTGTGTGTGTGTGTGTATTTGATTTTATATGCTGTTACCCAGGCTTTTAAGTTTGGAGGATAAAACGATGCATGTGAGGTCAGCAGTTTACGTAAAAGATCCATTTTTCATTAGATTCAAAGGCCTCTATGCTGATATTTTCCCCAGACACATTTTGTTTCCTCGGTGATGTGATGTAAAATTAGAAGAAAAAGAGACTCTTGACAATCTTTCAAAAAGACTGCCTTTATGGCACCGGAGAATTTTAATCATATTGTGTTGCATCATTAGCTGGCAAAGACTTCGGTGAATCGTTCCGGCATTCCTGAATTTTTAATCTGGGCAGAAAATGACTAGTTAGTAACGAGTTAAAAGATTGGTTCATAACTCATGATGCGTTGTAACATACCTAGGAGGAGCCGTCCGACTCTGCCCTTGATGAAACTGTGTTCTCACAGCCTGTTGACACAGAAAGCCTTGCCAGCTTGCCTTGCAGTGTCAGGTTAGCGACCTCCAACATTCCTTCAAACTCTAGTGTAATTTGCTGACACTTTAAGTCGCTGACATTAGAGAGACTGACTTTTTTCACTCACATGAGATTATTACGTATGCAAAATCGCACACGATGCTTAGCACATTGTAGGTGCTCAACGGATTCTCACATGCTCCTGAGCAATTTATTACCGTACCTGAATATTTAGCTACATTTAGTTGCTGATTTCATCATTACTGATTGAACAATCACACCACACCAAATTTTTAGGCTTGTAGGGTACAGTCATCTGTAGTCAGACCTTTGTTGCATTGTATCGGAAGATAAACAGGTGATTATTTGAGAGGATAAACAGATGCCATCCTAGATGAAAGATATTCAAAGAAGCTTTGAATCTGCTCAGGCACCCAGAAGCCCCAAGCGATGCGAATATCAGCGCCAACGACAACAAATGTGACAACCAGAAATCCACACCCTGGATTTAATGTAAATAGTATCTTTTTTGAAAGATGATGCTGGACAGCAGTCGTGTGAAGTACTCATCAGCTGGAATGGAGTATTAATTGATTACCCGTTAAAATTTTCCAGCCTCTTGTAAGTCATAATCAATGACAAAATTCAACTGAAAAATGATGGTTTTTAGAATTTTGTGGAAAAGTTTAGAGAAAAAGCCCACAAGCATTTTTTTCAAATGAAAAAAGGAAGGGAAGAGAATTAACCACATATTTGCTTTCTACATTCACTATTGATAATTGAGAGGCCCTCTCGATGATCAGTTACGGATTTCCATTGGTCAATATCGTGCCTTGTAAAGCTGGCTTGTACTTACTGTATTTATACACTACCACTAGCTGCATAAGCAGCTTATATTCTCCACATAGATGTACGTCCGTTATCTATAAGCAGTTTATGTTCTCCATAATGGCAATATCCCTACTTTCAAAAAGTTTTTCTTTTGAATTTCTCTGTCTCATATAATCATATTTGTGGGGCTGGAGCTCCGAAATATTATTGTCTGTCAAGATGTTAGGAAAGGAAGACGAAGCTGTCCAAAAGGGAACCAGGCCAGAGAGGAGTCCTCGTTCTGTCCCTGAATCTTGTCAGTTCCACAGTTTTCACTCTTCCTAACTCTTCCCTAGTTACAACCTTTGTTCCCGATTCACCGACCCCCATGTTTATAGCCACAAACCAATCAGGACTGCAGAATGTTAGAACTAAAAGCAACATCAGAAGCTATCTGACTCAGTTTGGAACTTTGGTTTTTTTAGTGCTGGAATATATTTGCCCCATGAAAACTTGATTAGAAGGCTGATAAGAAAAAAAGAGAAAAAGGACAAAAGGGGGCAAAGGAAGGGAAGAGGGAAGGAAAAAAGAAGGTAAGGAAGGATGGACAAAAAAGAGGGAGGAAGAAGAAAGGGAGGGAGGGAAAGGAAGAGTGTCTGGAGCTCTAAAATTCCTTGAGGAAATAAATAAGATAAAGAGATGAGCAGATCACAGGATGTGGAGATGAAATTGGACGGACTTTCTGGAGATACTGGCACACAGTTGATCAGTTCTTAGCTTCCTAGCAAAGTAGTTTTCTTCTGGAAAGCACCCCCACCTGGTCTATCCGTAGATCTTGATAATTTCCATCCTCTGATTGGTATTCAGCTATTCTAGTTGATAAATTAAATAGTAACCCCCATTTCCACCCCATGGCTGCTGCAGGAAAAAAAAAAGAACATTGAGAATAGCTTAACATACATTTTGCAGTCAAAAAAAAGGTTAGAAAAATATAGAAATGGGAGTATAAGAGAATGTCCAAGATAATGGTTATATGAAGTATAATAGTTCTCTTCTTCTCCCTCTAGTATAGGAATTTGGGTTGAAAGGTGTAGGTCAAATGAGGCATCTCAAAAGAGACCCAACTGGAAAAAAGCATAGAAAATACAAACACAGTAAGTTAAGGGGAGCCTGAATGGCTCAGTCAGTTAAGTGTCTGACTCTTGGTTTCAGCTGGGGCCATGATCTCACGGTTCGTGGGTTCAAGCCCTGAGTCAAGCCCTGCGTCTCACGTCAGGCTCTGTGCTGACAGCGTGGAGCCCGCTTAGGATTCTGTCTCTCCCTCTCTCTTTGCCCCTTCCCTGCTCTCTCTCCCTCTCTCTCTCTTTCTCAAAATAAATCAATACACATTAAAAAAATAAGCATAGTAAGTTAAATATTTTAGTGGAAAGCATAGAAGGTTTAAATTTGTTTGAAAATATATATACCACACACTTCTCTTTTTTGTTCTCTTTAATCAATCAATGACAATTTTACCCTGGATTCCCAAATGGCTCTTGGAAAAGTGCCCTCGTGGGAGGGGCAAAGTTCATATATTTCCATTCCCGACGGGGTGTGGATTGAAACTTACCCAGCCAGCTGTTAGCAGCAACTCTGAAGGCAAGAAGGTAACTGCGAGCATTGCCTAATGTCGTTTTTAACAATGCATATTGCACTGGAAAATTATTTCAAATTACAGAAAGCCAAAAGAGATTTGGCTGAAGCCAAAGGATGTGCCATTTTTATTATTAAGTCAATGTCTTTTAAAAAAAGAGCAGTTGGGGGCGCCTGGGTGGCGCAGTCGGTTGAGCGTCCGACTTCAGCCAGGTCACGATCTCGCGGTCCGTGAGTTCGAGCCCCGCGTCGGGCTCTGGGCTGATGGCTCAGAGCCTGGAGCCCGTTTCCGATTCTGTGTCTCCCTCTCTCTCTGCCCCTCCCCCGTTCATGCTCTGTCTCTCCCTGTCCCAAAAATAAATAAACGTTGAAAAAAAATTTTAAAAAAAGAGCAGTTGGTTTTATGATGTGTTGAATTTCTTGTAAATGTGGCAATACTTGCTAGGAG